TCGCCCTCATGAAATATGGTTCTGTAATAAGAGAGTTGGCAACCCTGGGAGCAAATTGGAAGTTCTATGATCAGTAATGTAGTAGCATAAGGCAGACCTGGCAGCTGGCATCCGCTGAGTTGTGATTGAGGTCTCATTCCTTTCGTGCCAAACGTGTTCCCCAGGCAGGGAAAAGTAAACAAGCAGGGCAACGCATTCCAAAGGGGTCCCGTTGGAAATTCCATGAGGGAGTTACAGGCCCTGGGTGTTCCTTCAAACACGAATGTTTGCGATGTGGGAACAACCACCAAAATTTCCACATGTCGGCAATCTTATTCCAAACCAACAGCAGGGAATTCAGGGACCAAACCAACTTCTGGTTCCAACTACGTCAGTACCAACAGCCGACCGAAGTACACCCAGCCTCGGTCAAGGCTAAGAGCTGTGTACTTAACTGGTTATCAGACGGTTCCTTGTACGCATCTATTATCTGGCTTTTTACATGGTTTTCGTTTGCATTTCCAAGGGCCTCAAGGGGTCTCTTGTTCCAACAATCTTGTTTCAGCGTCGGAGCACACAGACATTGTTGATCACATGTTAGTTTGCAGGGACAGTCTCCGGGATCTCTTTTCTGCTGGCCAGATGCCTCTCCAATATCTCGATCCTGCTTTGCGGCTGCTTTAACAGAAGACGTTCAGTTTTGTAATTTGAATGTTTTTCAGTATAAGACACACAGTTCTAGAATTGGAGCCGCTTTTTGGTCAGCAGCTATGGGAAAGTCAGACACACAGATTAGGACCTTTGGACGCTGAAAATCAAATGCTTTTTTTACGACATGTACTAACTTCCACAACTGGGACTATTTGGGCAGTCTCAACTTAACCCAGTGCCATATGCTCATGCTTGCAGTCCACTATTATTTCTCAAGCATAGTGCAGATCTTTTGAGCAGGGCCGATTGTATCTCCATAATTTGTGTGTATCGTACTAGTAGCTCAGTACTAGATATATTTGTCTTGTTACGTTGAAGAGTTGCCTGATTGGGAGCATTTGTGCAGGGGCCAACTGTTTCCTGAAAGGTGCAACTTATCTTGCAATGCAATGCTTAGAGTTTCTAAGTTTGCGGGGACAGTCTCTGGGATCTCTTTTCTGCTGGCCAGATGCAATGCTTACTAACTTATCTTGCAATGTCTGGATCAAACCATGTGTGCAGGGGCCACATGGTTATATGCCTTAAGCAGGTTGC